AATCGTAATAACTAATAGGAAATTAGAAATTGACAAAAATACCAACAAAATGACAAAATTATTGAATTTACAAAATTGGAATTTCGGATAAATTTTCAAAAAAATTCAAATTTTTATTTTATATATTTTTTCGTCGGTTCGATTTGGTTTTAAACCGTAATTAAAATTCTCAAACACAAACCAAACCGAAACCATTTCGTTGATGGGCCCACGTGGTACCAAATCGCAGGTTTCGAAATTGCGATTTCGATTCGATTTTTCGATTTTTGCTTACAACCCTTGTTAAAAAAGGATATGTAGACCAAGATTGAAAACATAATTTGACCCAACACCTACCAGGCCCATTAATAGTTCCCAACAATGATTTCACTCACTTTGACTTTTCAATGACCCAATTGCAACTGGGCAACTAGGATGAAAGCTCAATAACCTTTAGAGGTATTTGCTAACAGAATTAACCAGCTCTACAAGACCTGTAAAAGCTTGGTAGAGCAAAAGCTCTCACATGAGGGACCCACCTCATTAAAACCCCCTCCCCCCAATGTTTAAACACCCACCCCTCACCTCACATTTGCACTACCAGGCCTTTTACAGGCCTGGCAGTGCAGCACGGTTCTTGCTAACAATGATGGATTGTTTTTCATTTCGTTAGTTTTAATGGACACATTAGTGAATTTCGATAAGAAAGTCAACGGAATCTCAAAGAAGTGTCCTGATTGTTTCTAAATTAAAGTTTAGTCACTTGATTGCTCCAAAAGTGAAAGTTCAGTGCCCCCAATTGTAACTAATGTCAATGTTCAGTAATCTCTCGGGATTAAGCTATTTGTACACCTTTGTTGACAGATCAATGACGTAGAAGTGTTATAATAGTTGGATTAAATGTGTGAAATTGTGACAAAGTGTAAATTCGGTAAGCCGATGTATAAATTAGGATGTACATGTAACAAGATTGAATCTCCAAAGTAGTTGGCCCAATAAAATTCAGCTACGCAGGTCATTTCCTATACTTGAACAGGGGTCGGTGTTATTTCTTACTGCGTATATATTAATACAAAGAATTAACACATAACTTTAAGCATGCAATTTGACATCATTCAATTTACACCTCTTAACTTTGCTGCACAATAGGCAATGATTTGAATTCGAAACAGTAAGGATGAAAACACAATCCCATTTCCTCACTTATTGAGCAAGTTGATCACAATAAAACAGGAGTTGTACTTGTTGGGACCATCAGCATGTTTTATCCAAAGCATCCAAGTCAAATTAGGGCGAAGGGAGATGGCATAACAATAATTGATGGGTTTGTCGATTTCGACATAAACATGCTGTGTCTTCATCATGTTACAATCTTTCGTAGCATTTTTTAAAAAAAAGGAAGAAGAAAAAGATAAACTAGAAATATTTTAATGGTGAATTGGCTCAGTTCTTGTTAAAACCATAACGTTTAGAGAAGTGGACCCCGTTGAACCTCGCTTTCCAGGCCAATCACGACTTGCCCATATCAATATTTTACACTTTATTTTAAGAAGTCTTTTTCCAAAAAAATGTAGGCATTTTCTTCCATTTCAACCCTCGAAAAACGAAAATTCCTTTGAAGAAATTCACACTTGCACTCTCGCAAGTGCACGTCTATTTATCCACATCCGTAATACGAAAGAAACATTTCTTTTAGAATGAGGACGATGTTTTAGTTGACATATCCTTTGTGTACGGGAGTGTGTACATTGCATGCTCCTCGATTTGTGAGTAATAAAAAATGTTGGATAATAAATGAGTAATAGTTTTAATTGATGTATCATTTATGTTATATATATATATATTTGCTCTTCAAAATGATCCTAGTCTTATCCTCGCTACAGCCCTCGTTACTCATATGTAATGTCAATTTTCATTTAATTCTTAATGTCCAAAATGACACGATCCGTCTCGAATTACTCTAATGGACCCGATATGTGATGTGTGCCGATGGTAGATACCAGTTAAGTGCCGGCTCCACCACAAAAACAATTTTGACTGTGACATTTTTATAAAATTTTTGACAGTTTTATTTGTAATATAGACTAAAATTACCTGAACAATAATTATTTTCTTCAAACATGTACATCCTACAATGTATAAAAGAGGGAAGTTATAGTTACTGTTCCTAAGCCAAATGGCCAATTTTGTAGCCAGCCGTTTAGTCCAGCCATCGAAGTCGAGCCGGAAGAGAGGAGATATTTTTTTCCATTTTGCTTTTGCCATTTGTTCTTTCAATTTCTTTGTACGCTTTCCTCTCTCTCTCTCTCTGGGTTTCTCCATTTTTACACGCAAAGTCTGTACCCTTTCTCCATTTTTCCACTCCACCGACCACTCCTCTTTACTCCTCCTCCTTCATTTCCCTTTCCACCCCACACAACTACCCATGTCTCTTTCCCTTTTCATTGACTGCGACACAGATTTTGGCGACGAGGAGGAAGAAGACGAAGATGAAAAAGAAGAAGGATCCGTCACGGCGGCCGGCGCAACAGAGGAGGGCTCAAGCGCGAAACTGGAAAACTTCAAGGCCAAGGTCAATTCCCTAACTTTCCTTTTCACTTTTCCTTTCCTTTTCCCTTTCCCTCGAAGAGCAGTCCCAAAACTGCTGATTATTCAATTTTATAAACACGACCCTAATTTTCAATGACAGCTTTGAATAGCTTTAGATCCTTGATCGATGGAGTATATCAATGTCCATGTTTCCAGGGGACTTTGAGAGCAATGCTAAATTGAAGCTGAAAATATGAGCTATCACAAAGAGTTAGGTAGAATCTATAAAGTATATGTTCCTTTTGGATATGTAGTTATTACTTCAAAACTTCCAGAAACGAGAAGACATTAATTCAACATGAAACTGAAGTACTTATTTTTCATGCTTTGTTTGAAAAAATAAGCATACGGAACCTTACGTTGTTCATCTTTCTCTGTTTTATTGTGTGTTTCAACTTAAATTTTGTTTGCTATTATTTATTAAGTGCAATCATTTTTCTTCCATGAGATTTGCTTTCTTGGCCAAAATTTCTCTGCTATTAGTTCTTAAACCATTTATCGATACACCTGATTTTTGTTATTCAACCATTTGAATTTTTTTATCTCCTGACAGCCTCCCTTTTCGTTCTGCAGCTGATGTTTGTTGCATACCCATAGTAGATGACGGTGATTTCTTGATGGATATATACTATGGAAGGTTGACCTTTTCTAGTTGCACACATATATTCTATTTTATTTAATTGCTATTTATTTGAGTTCGGTTGTACCGTCATGAAAGATTAGTAAATGATTTTTGTTTCATGGCAGTGATATCACTGCTTTGGCGGAAGATAGGGCGTATGCACAGATTCCTCTCGATGACTTGAATGTTCATCAGG